CCTCGGGTAGACTGCGGAAGTGCAGGTTGTGTGGAGTTTCTCTGCGGACTGAGGGAAACAACATGTCGCTGAGAGCAGCTGTGAGCAACAAACGCTGTGTTTCAGGTTTGTGGACAAACTGACAGTCGGAGGAAAGATGTCGTGACTTCATCCACCGATGTCTGAATGTTACTGTCGCAGAGAATCTGTGAATACCCGCTGCTAGCTCGGTTAGCAGGGTTAGCTGTGCGTTAGCTCGGTTAGTTGTGGGTTAACTGTGTGTTAGCTCGGTTAGCTGTGCGTTAGCTCAGTTAGTTGTGGGTTAGCTGTAGGTTAGATCGGTTAGCAGGGTTAGCTGTTTTGTTAGCTCGGTGAGCAGGGTCAGTTGTGGGTTAGCTCGGTTAGCTGTGTGTTAGCTCGGTTAGTTGTGGGTTAACTGTGTGTTAGCTATGTGTTAGCTCGGTTAGCAGGGTCAGTTGTTGGTTAGCTGTGTGTTAGCAGGGTTAGTTGTGGGTTAGCTCGGTTAGCAGGGTCAGTTGTGTGGTAGCTCGGTTAATTGTGGGTAAGCTGTGTGTTAGCTCGGTTAGCAGAGTCAGTTGTGGGTTAGTTGTGTGTTAGCTCGGTTACTAGGGTAAGTTGTGGGTTAACTGTGTGTTAGCTTGGTTAGCAAGGTTAGTTGTTTTTTAGCTCGGTTAGCAGGGTAAGTTGTGGGTTAGCTCGGTTAGCAGGGTAAGTTGTGGGTTAGCTCGGTTAGCAGGGTAAGTTGTGGGTTAGCTCGGTTAGCAGGGTAAGTTGTGGGTTAGCTGTGTGTTAGCTCAGTTAGCAGGGTATGTTGTGTGTTAGCAGCGTGTTTACAAAGTGGTTGTGGAGTGTCGTGATGCGAGCACTGTGCGCAGTCGGTGAGGCGGTGTGTGACAGTGCGTGTGCACGAGGCTACGCACAGCGTGTCTGTACCTGGCGGACATCAGGTTGTACAGCAGAGGGTTGATGGCAGCGCTGAGGTAGAAGAGGACCGATGAGACCAGGTACATATAAAATATATTTGTAGAGAGGGAGTCTGTGTCAGCGCGTGTGTCAGTGTGTGTGTTATTGTGTGTAATGTCGGTGGGCGTCCCAACATATGTGTGTGTGCCTGCTGTCGAAGGTGTGAGACTAAATGTGTCCTTTTGTGACTTTATGCAAATGGTTGTGTTTTGCTTGTTATGTGTAGTATTGTGTATCTCGGTATCTTGTGTAGCTCTGACGTCATGTGATGCAACGTGATGTGCGCTCGTGTCGTCGATCTCGTTGTTTGTGTTTTCACAGAGTGCATCATCTCTGTCTGTGTGAGCACGTGTCTTCAGGTCCCCGTCTGAGAGGCTAACGGGTTCAGTAGCAGAGGCCATGTTGCCTGTGCTTTCAGGAGGAGTGTTCATGTCCGAGTGTGTGTCTGTGTAAGTTTCCTGACTTTCAGCACCGGTGCCCAGAGAAAGAGAGAATATGGTCCGACCGACGTGGAAGGGCAGCCAGCACAGGACGAAGGCCAGGACGATCACTCCTGATGGACATGCGGAGAAGGACACAGGAAGTGGACATGAGAATCATCAATATCAGCTGGTGATAGAATACAACCTTCACAAACCACTTGAATGTCTCGTCCACAGAGGAGAAGCTCGTCCTGTCCTCATTGCTGCTGCCTAGCAACAGAGTTGAAGTTGGACACGACAGAAGGCTTAATGCCTCTTGGTTTTTTAACATGTGAGCTGTTGAGTTTATACACTTCGTGACAAAGTGTATAAACTGGCTCGAGATGTGCAAGCCGAGATGAAGACAAAGGATTAAATCTATCTTTCTATTTAGTAAAAGCTAAATTCAGAACCTGAGGGTGTGTGTGTTGGAGAGTGTTTTCCTCACCGAGCATCTTGACTGTGTGTCGGTGACTCTGGTCTTTACGGCTGCTTTGTGGACGCAGCCACAGAGTCCGTCCAATCAGGCTGTAGACCAGTCCCAGGATGCACAGGGGTACCAGGAAGTACAGATTGGAGAGAATCATCATGGCCGACAGGAGGCCAGAGGAGACGGCGAAATGTGTGCAGCGGCACTCTCTCTTGTCAACCTCTCTCCCCATATCAACACCCTCTTCCCATCCCCCTCCCTCGTCTTCTCTCATTTTATTTTGCTGCATCCCGTCATCTTCCATCTTCCCTTCTTTTTCACCTCCTCCCTCGTCAGCCTCTTTTTCTTCTTTTATTTTTCCTCCCTCTCCTGTTCCTCCAATCGTCAGTTGTCTCTCAAACTCTGCAGCTCTTTCACCCCATCCCTTTGTCTCTTTTTCCCCCCACTTCATTCCCTCCAATCCTCCGTCCATTGAGGTCATGTGTCCACTTCCTCTCTCCCCTCCACCTATAATAAATCCCCCCTGTTCTCCTTCTGTGCCCATCCACCCTGCGTCCTCCCTCCATCCCCTGAGGCCTAGTTCCTCTCCCCCTCCAACGTCCTCCACTCCGACCATGACCAACACTGGTGCTGCACTGACAGCCGCTCCCAGCCAGAGGCAGCCAATCAGAGCCCTGGTTCTGCGCCGTGTCACCAGCGTCTTGGCGGTAATTGGCCAGCAGACAGCCAGGTACCTCTCCAGGGAGAGGAAGGTGATGTGGAGGATGGTGCAGAAGGTGCAGCACTCTGAGAGGAACATGGTCAGCTTACAGACGAGGTCTCCGAGGGGCCAGGGTCTGGGTCTCCAGAGCTGAAAGAGATAGAGTCAGTTGATGGATTTCTGATGTGAGTCCAAACCATGAGTATATGGTTAAACCACAGTGAAGTGCAACAACAAGGTGTATAAGTATTATAGTATATATGTGATCGCACCTTATACAGATCCAGAGGCAGCAGCAGGAGGATCAGCAGGTCACTAACGGCCATGCTGCTCAGGTAGAGGTAGGTGGAGCTTCTCATGTGTGGGCGAAGCCAAACCACCAGAATTGTTAGTGTGTTTCCAAGAACGCCGAAGAGCATCAGTGGAACGTAAATCACACTCACACACACTAGAAAAAGAAATAATGACGATTGATCTTCATTAGAATCACAAATGTACACATTTTCAGTCAACAATGGAAAATGGAAAAACACATTCACATAAAGTTTGTTCTCATGATCACTGGAACAGTAACAACTATGAAAGTCAGGTCATAGAGTCAAGATTTATTTAGTTATTTATAACTTTAACTTCCTTCGATAATTAATTTATATCATTCTACATCATTTCGTGT